CTCTCACCTTGCTTTTTCAAATTGATTTGGGGATTTTAAGTTAGACTTTGAAAGCGAGGTTAAAGCAAGTTCAGTCTTATTCCCTCTCTGGGATTTTGTTTCAAATTAGAAAGCTAAATTTTACATAAAGCCTCTCCAAAAGCGTACAAGAGGACGGAGGCTCCTTCAGGAAAGCAGGCAAGAAATTGGACAAAAAAATATATCAGAACCACAAACGAAACACTTAACGTTTTGTGAACTCTTTCCATAACTACTACGCCTCATGCTGAGCCACTATCACAAACTACCCCAATTTCTTTTGTTTTCACTCAAGCGCTCCAGGCTGACAGACCTCCTGCGTTCCCTCAGCCTCCCTCACACACAAGCAGCTCCAACCTCATCTCGCCAATTACAGGAGGAGGACCAGAAAAACAGAACGGCTATGTAATGTAGTAAACTGCACTTTGCTGAAGCCTGGAGGTTTAACCACTGCACTCCTCTCCCACATTCCCGGGAGGAAACTGGCTGGATGCACTGAAGGTCATGTACAAATGTGAGAGAGCCATTCCCATGGGCTATGTTCATGTAAACGCACCAACACTGTGTTAGAAAAAAAAAAAGCGTTTAAGTTGGTACAATTACATGCTCATCATGGACCATAAAAGGACACAAAAAGGCATGTTCACAGTGTATGGAGGAGGAACAGTGTTGAGCTTGTTTGATAAGGGTAAAAAGGGCCAACTTCAAGATTTTTCCTAAACCGGATTTTCTGCTTAAGTTCGGCCCTGTGAGGTGAATAAGGGGATCTTTCAAAACATATGGGAGCCCAAGAGAAAAGCTGAAAACCAGAAGCATGTGTTTTCTAAAGCCATATCCTACAGCATATGTACTGCACACCGAGAGCTTTGCAGAGTTGAAAGCTAGAAAAACAAAGCAATTCTGTATCTAGCCAAGCGTTTCACTGGCCAAAAAGACTGAAGTGTTTGCTTTCACTTTATTTGTACATTTTGTACAACTTTTGCTTTTGAATTTTATATACATTTTTTTCTTTGCACATAATGCATTTATAATATTCTTTAGTACATAAAACACATTGATATATATATATATATATATATATATATATATATATATATATATTTATATACGTGT